CCAAGCCTGCCACTCAGGGCCCTGGCAGCTCAGCAACACAACTCCCAACATGAGCAGGGGTCTCTGCTCTAAGCAAATGCAGATTTTATGAAAATGAGTACACGACATACTGCTAGGTGCTCTGCCAACATACTAATCTGGCTAGAGCCGCATCGATACATAATCCATTCTTCTGTGTCTACACTGGCAGAGTAAAGGATGCCTCCCAGTCATCCCATCGGTGCCAGCTGTGTGGGGGAGGAAGAGGCCCTGGCATCTCTGAAGATGCATCTGCAGTCTCCAGGGACCTCACGTCCCTTCCTCGGGCCCGGCAGGGGATGTCAGGCAGCAGGGGCCCTACTGGCTCACCCAGGCCAACATGGCACATCTGCCTCTGTGGAACTTGCTGTGACTTCTAGGCCTGGGAGGCAGACACAAGAGCCAGCCCCGCTGGGATCCTCAGTTTTGGGGGACTCTCAGTGCACCCTTAGCTCCCTCCAGGGAGACCAGCATCAGCACACACCTGCCAGTACCACCTGTGCTGCCCGAGCTCTCCTCTTCCTTGACAGAGATGCAGTCGCCACCTCCTGATGACCCTCCAGGCTGTGGTCTCACACACAGGGTCCCACAATCTCCTCATATGCTCCATAGGGGAATAGGAGTTTCAAAATCATGGACTTAAAAGCACATGCATGTCAGAGGGGCGTGAAATGCCCAGCAGCCGTGGCAGGAAGCACATGCATGGCACTTTCTGTGTTTCCAATTCACATGCGAGTGGGGTACACGTCTGTGTGCACTCACACACATGTATGGATATGTGAGCATGTCACACAGGACTGGCACCCCCAGGCCAGGTGCCTCTGAGCAGTGAGGGGGCATCCCAACTGTGCCGCCTGCATCCTTGTTTTATAAAATGTCCACATGCCCTTGGTAAACTCTCTGCATGAAGTAAGATTTTTGAGCCTTAAAGGTCCCAAATGGGGGCAGAGATCTGGTTGTTATGGAGAGACCACAGAGGGTGATGACGTTTTCATAAGTAGGAGCCGTGGGCAGTGCCGTGGGTTTGGGAAACACAAAGACAGCATGGCAGGCCAGTGGCCATGGCCAGGTACATCCCTGGGGAGCCTGTAACCCGGCCACAGGTTAGCCATCAGTGTGTGCAACCTCAGGGCGCAGGAGCGCCGAAAACCTGGGAGGGGAGCAGGCGAGACCCGCAGAGTAGCAAAGCTCAGGGGGTCTGCAGGGACAGGATCTCCACAGGCCACTGTTGCCACTGCAGAGACCTGGGGATGACCACCGTGCCCGATCCCAGACTGGGTACGCGCATGAAGCAGCGCCATTTAGGTGCGAGCAACCGTCACCAGGGAGGAGAGAGTCCGGGCGGCGAGCACGCGGTGTATTCTTAGCTCCTCAGCAAAGTAGGTTATGGTATAAAAATACCATTACATAGTAACTCAGCCGCCCGCCTTGCCACCGCTGGCCGCCAGCCTCCGCAGGCCTGTGCCGCACCTTCCTAGACTACCCTCGTTAGCGAGCTGAGACCAGGACCCATCACGCCCCTCCACACTTGGGGAGACGGCGCAGGGCGCTTTGGCAAGACTGGGTGGGAAGGACAAGCCGAGTACAGGGCAGAGACCTGGGAAGGGGGGATGGCGCTGGGCGCACTCAGGGAGGGAAAAGGTAAACAGGGTGCTTACACCCCCCACCCCAATTCCCTTCCTCCCTAGAAACCAGACTCAGAAGTCCACTTGCACGGATGTCCTCTATGTATCTATGAAGCACCTAGCAGGCCACTCGCCAGCTCACGGCGGCCCAGTGCACTGTCCACTCGCCAGCTCACGGCGGCCCAGTGCACTGTCCACTTGCCACCCAGCACGCTGACTGCCCCCTGTGGCTGGGGTAGACAACCCTGTACCCCAGTGTCAACGACACACTAAGATGAGCTCCAGTCCCTGTCCCCCGAGCTGGAGTGGCTGGGAGGGGGTGCACCCCCAGGCCCCCTGGTGCCCAGGGCTCAGCAAGCTGCTCACCGTCCTTGAGCGTGGGGGGGGGGGCGGGGGGGTGATGGGGGTCTCTTTGAATCGCCAGTCAGATCTGACTCTCAGGGCTTGCTGGGGGGTTGTCTCCTATGGGCCACAAAACTGCGATCCAACCCCTAGGTCCCCCAGACGGCACCCATATTTTGCGACAAGGACTCCCCAGAAAGAGGACCCCTGAAATCGGCACCCTCTTCTCACCCAGTGCTGACATCATAGCACAGGGAGGGGTACCCTTCCTGGGACAAAGGCTGTGCCAGCCAACACAGTCAGTGCGGGAAACCAGGAGGCAGCCTGGACTCCACGTCCAAGGGCCAACCAAACCCAGTCTGTCCACATCCAGTGACTCTCCACGGAGAACCCGGAAGAACCCCGGCCTCCAAGTGTCTGCATGTGAGGGCACAGGAGGGGCCCAGGACAGACTGTGCGCATACGTGGCCGTCGCCAAGGGAAACGCGCTCTGAATACATTTGTTTGCAATATTCTACTTCTTATAGCTTAAAAATCAGAGAGAAAACTCAAAGCCAAAACGGCCAAAGACAGTTTCCCACTCCAAGCAGCAGACAGTCACCATGATTTGACGACTCCCGGTATTTTCAGAATTACTAAAATCTGTGAGATGCAGAAGCCCACCACCCACGCTGCAGGCTGGCCCGCTTGCACGCGGGGCCTCCTCGCTGAGCTCCGCCTGCCTGCCGCCTCAGGGTCCTCAAGCTCAAGGAAGCTTCAGCCTGGCTCCTGAACAAGCGGCCATGAGCCTGCAGGACTGCACGATCATGGCGTGCCAGGAGAGCCCCCGAGCCGCAGGACCTCGGGCGGCTGAGCCAGCGCTGAGGCCCAGGAGCAAAGTAGAGAGGGCGAGGGGCAAGGGAGAGGCTGCGCCACCAACACTGCCATGGTCCCACATCTCAGCCTGCCCACCAGCAGGGGCCACAGGAAGCTCGGCTGGCCTGAGTGAGTGGGTGCCAGGGGCTGAAGCTTTAAATAAACTTGGCTGTGTCCACCTGGATTGGGAGGAAGCACCAACTGTGCCCCAGGCCAGCACTGCCAACAAGCAGCCAGCACGGCTGCTCAGACCCCAGCCTCTCTCCCAGCCCTCTGCCCTCATGCCATCTCCACCTAGGGTCCCTCCTCACCCCTGGCCCTGCCCCAGCAGACATGCCCCTACCCCACCCTACCAGGCCTGGGGCCAGAGAGCTCCACAGATGCGGCTGGGCTGGGCTGCCTGCTGCTCGGGCAGGATGCACCCTCTGGTCCTGGACTCACTCCCTGCCAGCCCAGATGCCTGTCCCAGCTCGGCACACGCTCCCTGCCAGCGCCTAACCTGCCTACCCCCAGTGGGCAGTGCCAGCCCTCGCCTGGTCCCACCATGGAGTTGGCCCTAGGGCCCTCCACTCCCAAGCTGGCAGCAGCTTCCAACGGCCAGCTGCTGTTGGGTTAGGAGGCTGAGGGGAGACCCAGGCAATCTGAGCTGCTGCCTGGGGAAGGAGGCCCGGGCCACAGGGGAGGCCAAGGCCCAGCAGGGAGTGGGCAGCACTGAGAGGGGTAAAGGGCCTGCATGCTCTTGACCACAGTGGTGGACAGGATGGCCCTTGGGACCAACCGCAGCCCTCGACCGGTCTACACACCTGCAGGGCTCCCGCAGGACACTAGTCCACTGCCCCCACCCCACTGGGGGCCTCCAACCCTGCCCATGCCCTGCCTGCAAGGGAAGTTCTCTCCTGGGCTGCCTCCCAGGCCCACCCAGCTTCCACCAAGGTTGAGGTGCCCTCATCACCGCCCCTCCACACTGGGCTACCCCTCCCAGGGCCTGATCCGAGCACCCCCAAGTGCAGAGAAAGCCAGGGAAGGCACCCGCCGACACCCCTCCCTCCTGCAGGCGCTCCACAGTTACCAGCCATGTCCCTCGCCCACCACAAGCTTCTACCAGGCGCTTTTTTAGTAAAGGGAAAAAAGGATCCGCCACTGGATGTGTAAGAGGAAATCTCGCCAGCGCCCCCACCCGCAGGAGAGCAGAGCCGGGGGAGGATGGGGGCGGGGAAGGATGGGGCCCCAGCCCCTGGAGACCCAGGAGTTCTGAGGCCAGCGTGGGGGTGGGGCGGGGAAGGGGTGTAGCCACGGTGGTTCCTAGAGGGGAACCCTGTGCCAGGAAGAGGACTGCTGTGGGGCTTCCAGGCCTCCGACCTGAGGCGCGACTCTGGGCCTGGAGACCCCGAACCATGGCAGGGTAGCGCAGGATGCAGAGCGAGCCTGGGGGCTGGGACACCTGTTTCCCAGAGGCCCCACCTGCTCCAGCCCTTCACTGCCTCTTCCCCTCGCGGCGCCTACAAATAAGGCTCACAGACCCAGCCTCCAGAGCCGTCTCTGAAATCGGGAGCCCACTCGACGGGTTCCCAGTTCCCCATCATGCCGACCTGACCTGGGCTCCCTGACCTCGCCTCCACCTTCAAATAACTGTTTCCAGAAGAATCTGCGGGAAAATCCTCCCAGGTTCCCTGGGGACCCACGCAGAGCTGCTCCCACGCCGGCACCCCGCGCGGAGGGGGCCGTGCAGGAGCAGGCACCGAGCGGGTCCCGCCGCCCCCGCCTCCGCCGCCGCCCGATGGGGGTGGGGACAGCGCGCCACGCGGGGGCGACCCCCGGGACCGCAACCGACCTGTCCGGGTGCGCCAGGCCCCGGTGCGCCCCTCCTCGGTGACCTCCCCGCCGCCAAATGCGTCACGTCTGCCCAGCGCTAGGGGACACCTGCTGCCGCCCCCGCCGGGCGAGTCCAGATCCCTGGGCCCCACACTGTTCAGGGCCGAGCACTGAAGTCCAGCAGCCCGGAGCCGGGGTCGGGGTCGGGCAGCACGGAGCCGCCCGCACACGCCTGGGCCGGGGCCGGGAGGAGCCGGGGGCGCGCCGGGCCGCAGTGCGCCCGAGGCCGGCTGGGCCGAGGCTTCCGTGCCCGGGGGTCCTGGTCAGCGCGCGCGCCTCGGCTCTTACTTGCCAATATCCTCGTAGAGCTGGTACTCATCGGTGAAGCGGGTGCAGGTCACCGTGGTGGCCATGGCGGCGGCGGACGGGCTCGGCGTGCGCTCGGCTGCGCTCGGCGGCGGCGACTCCGGCTCCCGCTCGCGGGCACGGCGGCGACACGGGCGCGGGCGCGGAGACACCTCGGCTCGCGGCGCCGGGCGGGGGCCGGGCTGGGGCTGCGCGCGCGGCGGGCGCACGCGAGATCTGCTCGTTCGGGTCCCGCCAGGAGCGCGCCGCACACCTACGCGGGGAGGCGCGGGAGAGCTGTCACTGCCGCCACCGGCGCCGCTGCGCCTCCCCGCCTGCTACCCCAGCACGCGCAGCACCCGCGCCCCGCACACGTTGCTTCTGCACTCGCGCCTCACCACACCAGCGCTGTTGCACCTGCACCGAACCCGCACCCTGCACTCACACCACTGTCCTGCACCCGCACCACGCCCGGCACACGCTGCGCCTGCACCCGCACGGTCCCTGAACGCTGAGCTGATGCACTAACACACACGCCGCTCTGGCACCTACATCCCACCGTCGCCTGTGGCCGCGCCTGCACCTGCCCTGCTCCGGTGCCCCGCACGTACACCCACACATACAGCAGGCCTTTCAAAGCACATGCATCTGTGCTGCGCAGCACACACGGCTGCACCAGGAACTCGGACAGGCACCGATGCCATGCATCCTACGCGCCCTGCGGCTCACGGATTTTCATTGGCAAGACCTGCACCCTCGCATCCATGCCCTACAGCTGTACCTGCACATGGGCTGCCCCCACACTATGCCTGCGCCCTGCACCCCCAGCCTGGATCTGCATCACACCCACATACATACACGCCCTTGCACTGCACCCACACCCTGCAGGGCACACAGGGAGCCCAGCTCTCTCATCCATGGATGCCCCCTGGCACCAACAGCAAAGGGCATTGAGGCTCCTGTATCGCTCTCCCGTCCCCAGGAGTGGGGATGATGCCAGAGTCCTCTGTGCCACATGCAGTGCAGTGCAGGCCCCTCTGCCAGGGCCTCCCTGCCTAGGTGCACACACCAGGCACCTGGGTGAGGAGCAACAGGGTGGACTGGAGGCTGCCCATCAGAAGGTCCCAGCCTCCCCCATCCACTCCTCCAGGACCCGTGGCCAAGGCTGGGAGCATCCCAAGTGGAGGTTCTGGGAATGGCCTGCAGTGAGAGCTGCTCAACAGAGGTCCTGGGCCAGAGGGCTGGGCCACCTGCCCAGGTGGTGGGCACATCCTCTCTGCCCACACTTGTTCACTTGTATGGCCCTGGCTTGGCCTGGCCGAGGAAAATATGGCTCTCTGTGCCCACTGCCCCCTTCAAATGGAGTGCACAGGGCTACAACAGAGGCAGAACTGGGACTTCAGATCTGCCTGGCAGCCCACTCCCATCTGAGACCACAAGCCTGGTGGCTTTAAGGAACATTTCAATACCTGTGGATGGAATGAGGCTGCTGGCCACCAAAACCTTCTACTGCCTCTGGTATGGGCTCTGAGCCCATCCTTCCCCAGCCTGCAGCCAGAGCTAGGAGCTTTTGGAATCCTGGTGACTGCTGCCCCAGCACAGGACTACAGGAAAGGGGGCCAGCTTCCTGCCCTCTCAGGCAAGGTACACCCCACAGTCCTGGCCATGAGTCCAGGCCCTGGGTGGCCTGCGCCCAGGAGATGGTTGATGGACAAGGACAAGCATGATGCAGGCAAGTGCAGGTCCCACATGCTGGAGTCACAGGAGTAGCTGGCTGTGGTGGCAGCAGGAAAGGAGCCCATCAGAGCCAGGCGAGATGCAAGTGAGAGCTGGGGCCTTTGCAGCAGATAGGAGTAGGGTGCTGGGGCCCCACAGACCTGGCTCAAGTTTCCTCTGGGGCCTGTGTTGAACCCCGGGGTCTCCCCAGCACCTGCTGGCCCCAGAAGCAGGGAGTGTAGCAAGCTGATTGGTAACTCCACAGAACCGCCTGCCCTGCCCAAGGGTGGTCCAGCAGGTGCAGGCACTGGGGTCCTCACGCTGCAGACTTGTCTGTGTGCTGTGGGCCTCTCACCTATGTGTCCTCACCCAGTTCCCCAGCAATCCCACATGCATGACGTGCCAGTGTCCCTGTGTCAACATGCCCTGGAGACACCACCAAATGCAGCTGGGATACCAACTGTTGGGACAGGAAGATACACACACACGCAAACAGCACACCATTATACGCGCGCGCACACACACATCAACACATGTATTTATAAGCACACACAAAACACACATGCCCACATAGTTTCCTACATGTAGCCTTAGGCTGGGGCACAGCACCTTGGGTGGGCCTTGGCGAGGTCACCTTTTGCAAGGTAGAGGAAGACTGGGCAGGACCAAGGCTGTACAAGATGTCAGCAACTGGGGTGGGCACTGTGGCATAGGTGGTTTAAACCACTGCTTGCAATACCAGCATACCATTTAGGCACCTGCTCATGTCCTGGGTGCCTCACTTCTGATCCAGCTCTCTGCTTACAGCCTGGGAAAGCAGCAGAGGATGGTCCAAGTACTTGGGCCACTGAATCCACAGAGGAGATCCAGGAAGAAGCTACTGGCTCCTGGCCTCAGCCTAGTCCAATTCCGGCCACACCTGGGAAGTGAACCAGCATACAGATCTCTTTCTCTTTGGCTGTCTCTGAATTTCAAATTTCAAATTGTTTTTTATTAAAAAAACGAACAAACAAAAAGAGGCTGGGGTTACCTAGGGATGCAGCTTGAGGCCTGCTGCATGCTGGGCCTGATGTGGGGTTCCACATGTGCCAGCTGGGCAGCCTCCACTCAGGAGGGAGGGCAGGGCAGGGCTCACCGCTGCCAGCAGTCTACCCTGCACCCCCTCACAGACTAGCCCTTTCCCGCCCACCCCACTGCTCTACCCTCCCTGGCAGGGGAAGAAGGCTGGTGAGGGTAAGGAGGCTGCCAGCCTGCCACCAGGAGCCTGCAGCCTCCCCCCACCCGCAGGGAGGGCCCTTAGCACCCTTGCTCCCATGTCATTGCTGCCTCCCATCTTGTCCTTGTTCCCTCAAAGGCAGAACCAAGTGGGGCTTTCCCTCCCAGGTGGCAGCTGGGATGGGTGTGGGGAGATCAGTGCTGGGAGGTTATTGTTAGGACAGTCACCATGGCAACAGGCATCACATCTGCAGAGCCCAAAGTGCTGCACATGGGGCTTGCTCTCCCAGAGAAAGCCCTGGCCTCCCCATCCCTGTCACCAACTGGGGCTGCTGTCATGGCCACCATCTATCGGGCCTGGGCATGGATACCTGATCGTCCAGTACTAGACATGGCAGCCTAGACAGAAGCTTGAGGCAAGTAGATGGGTGGCAATGATGATGAAGATGATGGTGATGGTGAGGGTGGGGTAGGAGTGAGTGGCAATGAAGGCCAGAGTTACGGCTCAGAACACCCCATCACATGGCAGAAACCATGCTAAAGCTCCCTTCAAGGCAGGCCTTGGGTGCTGTGGCTGAGGGCTTGTTTCAGGCCGACTTTAAACAAGGGCACCTGCTGGAAGGTGGCATCTAGAATGGGTGCCCTGGGAGACATCCTGAGTGGCTGTGCACTGAACGACAGAGAGGGCCTGTGGTGAGGGTGCTGGCAGAGGAGGTGGCTGTGCCAAAGGCCACCCCAAGCTGGAGGTGAAGGGGAGTGGAGCAGCAGCCCACGGAGGCCCTGAGACACTGTCGACGGCTCCTTGGCAGCATCCACTGGCACCTGCGTCCTACAGGGTGCTGAAGCACTCTGCTGACAGCTCAGCAAAGCCATCAAGCCCCAGCAGGAAAGTGGTGCCCGCAGGCCTGGCTTGGGGCTCAGTTTGGGCCCCAGGGAGCAGGAAGGTTTGTACACTTGCTGCTTTCTCTGCAGACACCCAGAAGAGGCCAGGCCCCTGGGTGGAGGCAGGCAGCTCCTGAACACACATCCTGGCTGGAGCTTGACTGCACTTGCTACCCCTTCCTGCTGGCCTCCACTGGCTTGTCCTGGCTGCTGTCAGCCCCACTGTCTGGGCCAGCCCCAGCATCTGACCCTACATCATCTGTCACAGGACGCTCAGGCCAGGGCAGGGAGCTCCATCTTGCCATGGCAGCTGACACCTGCACCCTTCTGTGGTGCCCTGGGCAACCTCCAGCTGTGGCATAAGATCATGCTGGAGACTGGCCACCACACTCGTATTCCCAGGGTGTGGGCAGAGCCGGTGTCTGAGGCTGGCCCCTTCCTGTTGCTCGGATACCATATCCATAATGCACGCAGAGGATGGGGGAGGGGAGGCCAAATGCTGGGCATCCAACAGCTTTGTCCCTCATGGTCCTGGGGGCAGCAGTCTGCTCCCTTGACCTCATGCAACAACTGGAGAAGACTGAATGGCCCTGGGAGTGGGTGGTGCTCCCTTCTGCCCCGCGTGCTGAGGGACCTGCCGCTGACCCCTCGCGAGAGGACAGGGTGTCTGTGAGAGAGAAGGTGTTCCGTCTTCGCCCATGGCCCAGCATTCATACTCGCAGGTGCTCACCTGAAGGAGCTCTCAGAAGCTGCACTCACTGGGACCAGAACACGGCTCCTGGCTTCAGATCGGCGCAGCACCGGCCGTTGCGGTCACTTGGGGAGTGAATCATCAGATGAAAGCTCTTCCTCTCTGTACATCTGATTTTATAAAAATAAAATCAATCTTTAAAAAAAATGAAAACACATTTTTACAAAATAAAATAGTGGGATTAAACCTTAAAAAGTGTGTGTGGTGGTGGGGGGCTCCTGTCTTGGACGTGGTCTCCCTTAGCCCCAGGGCACAGAGGTCATTTCTGAGTGGCGCCTCAGAGCCCACTGTGGCTTCTCCTTCCTGGTGGTTTTGCTCTGCTACTGAAGGCTTGGAAGGTGCATGCATCGTTTGTTTCCAATCTTGGGCAGGAGCCAGCTCTAGGGACCAGGCATGGCTCAGCTCCTGGGCTCTCGGGGCATAGCACGGCTCTCTACAATGAGGACGCTCCCTGCAGGGACCTGGCCTGGCTGTGCGACCCACAGACGTCAGGGGCTCCCTAGG